ACTATTGAAAAGAAATAAAAGGAAAATAACAAATGAAAGAACAGCAAATAATAACTGGAAAAGAAACAGCATCAAAGAATGAACAAATATTTATAGCCCCATTGATTTAACTGCAATTCATTTTTCCAAGTCTATGTGCTCAACGCATTTTATTAAAATGTCAACCTCCAGAAATACTTTTCAAAATACCATTACTTGGCCCTCTAAAAAAAACATCTGAAAGGCAGCTTTAAGTTGTCCCAGAATAGGTTTCCATAGTTCAAATGGTACCAACATATTTGCTATTTTTACACAACATAAATGACTTGTTTTGGTAATGCATACAAATAATGACTAGGGACATATTCCTCAAAATAATTTCTTTCGAATGCAAGAAAGCTTTAAAAAACAAGTTTTTGAAGCCAATTGACAGTTTGAGATTTATTATATGTGAATTTGTGTATGCTTGCTTTACAAAGAAAAGAGTGTTTTCTGTTTAGGGGATTCATACTCCTGCATAGAAATATAAATTTTCCATGCAGAAAATGCTGCTTCCCAAGTAGAAAATGTTGCTTTCTATGCAAATCACCCACATGTGCATGTCCCACAGAATAAGCCACCAATTTACAAAATTTTATCACAGGAAACACCTTTTGCTGTATAGAAAACAATATTTTTCCATTATCTATGCAGAAAAGACTGTTTTCTGCACAAAACAACCATATGTGAATTTTGTGCAAAAGTAGTCCTCAGCTACAAAGGTTCTTGGCAGTCCAAATTTCTTCTCATTGGGGAGTCCAAACCTATTATTGAGATGCAATTTGCTTGTAAGCCAGAATAAACATGACTGTAGATATATGCTATTTCTTCCTGCAAGCAGAAATAGCAGCCATGAATACATATCACTCTCCATAACATCTACTAGAACCTACCTGAGATGTGATATTTTAAAATTCTGTATTTGCTCACTTTCATTAACAGCTAAGTATGCACAGAAAAAGCACAACACAGTGACCTAAATGTGATGTTTTTTTCTAAAAGGTACCAAATCCATCTGAACAATTTTTTCAGGAATTGAAAAAACATGTTGAAGTCATGCATTCTTTTGCGATTAAATGAAATTTGCCAAGACCTGCAGCAAAGTAATTGGATACATTTGGATAGTTTCAATCTGAACATAATATTCTACTCCTATCCACTAATGTGCTTCCACCCATAACTCATTTTTCCATTTTTAGGGGGAGGAGGATTTGGTACCTTTTGGAAACACAAATTCCACAAATTCAATTCCTAGTTCCAACTAGAATAGAGAAACTATGTAAGTCAACATCTATGTAAGTTCCATTGATTCGATCGATCTACCCAACTCATCATTGCTAGAAATTGGCTTTAAGTCATTGTGACAGTAGAAAACTGAGATCTGCTTTTGTGGATCTGCATTTCTAAACATTACTCACTATTGGCTGTAAAAATTAGGTTTCCTGGAAATTACAATCCAATGCTATCCCTAGGGCCATACAATTCTAAACCCTCCATTACAACATGAGGCAATTTCTACTAGATGTTACAATGGGTTATTTCTGCTCTGGCAACTGAAAGACAGCTATGAAGGATTTGTAATGTAAAATAAATTCAAAGAATTTAAAAAAACAGAATAGTAGAATGGGACTTAAATCTAACAGAGTGAAACAAAATGGTAATTTATTCAAGAATTCATGTCATATCTCATCAATAGCAGAGGCAGCTTGCAAGTGAAACTATCAACCACCTCCAATGATAGCTGCGTCTTTTATTCATTTTCTCCATGCCTGACTTTGGAGTGAATCGATCCCATTTGTAGCCACTCACATTCAGTAAACTTCCAAGGTACATCAAATTGGATCCACCTTGCCAAGCTATTTACTTCGATTAGCAAAGAAAGGAGCCAAGTGCAATTTACAACTTGTCATTAAGAGAAATCGAAATGCTAGAGTGCTATAATGGTTAGAGTTGGACTCATACATGTATTATCAGCTGATAGCTGTATTTTGCATAATTAATTTGAAAATTTAAGGCCCTGAAATGAATATCAGTATCAAATGAATAAATCAATGTACGGAATACCAGAAAATGAATATGTAGTGCTGTGATGATTATAAGAGAAATGTTTATACTTCTAGATATTATATTTCTGACCATTCACTGTTAGCCAGACAAACCATCACCAAAGATTTAAAAAAGAACCCAGGAAGGCTGCTGCCCAACTGGACTTAATTAGTGAAATAAATTTTATTTATGCTGTAGCAAGAAGCCAGTCCAGTGAAGTTTGTCCCTCTTTGGGAGAAGGTAAGGATCAATAAGGTGGAATATGAACAGAGAATGTTCGCCTAATGTACACCTAAATTGTAATTTGCCTATAACTAAAGAACAATTAAATGTAAATATGTACATGTATTCCATTGGTGCCTGACATTTTTTATTCTGAATTCGGGAGTAACACTGATTGTCATATAGTATTATTCCATGCATTTTCAAGAGGAAAAAATGGCACACAAGCAAGCTGTGGCTACACACTCCAGTAGCCATCTCATACAGCCACAATGCTATGTTTCCAGTTTACCTACCATGGTTGCATCATATGGTATCCTTTTGCAATTTGGTGCAGCATTAGACCAATCTGCTGATATGTCATCAACTGTTGTGTGCCTTCACATTTCTGAATTATGGCAAACCCATTATGGCAAATCTTTCATGGGTATTTGACCAGATTTATTCAAAGGAGATTTGTCTTTGCCTTCCACTGCGGCTGAATGTGTTATTTTTTTTTAAGATCACCCAATGGGTTTCCATGGCTAATGGGGAGATTTGAGACTTGGTCTACCAGGCCTCATCTACACTGCCATATAAAGCAGTTTGAGACTATGCCATGGTTCCATCCTATGGAGTCCAAAGAATTTAGGTTTGAGAAGCAGCATTTAGAGAGCAAGTGCAGTTCATAAGAAATCAGTTTGAAACCACATTACATAGTGTAGACTCATAAATTGCAGTTTAATGCAGTTACGCTGCATTATATGAGTTTACTCTGACCATATAATGCATTTTCAAACTGCACTTACTTCCTTATGCAATTATAAATGCTGCTCCTGAAGCCTACATTCTTTGAACTCCATAGGATGGGAACATGGCATGAAAGGACCCCTAAAAGGAAGAGCTGTACTTTAGAACCCTCCCCCCCCCCCCGAAATTTTCTCAGTATTCTACCCACTTTTCATTCTCTATCTCTAAACCTCATGTGGCAACTTTCAGCTTACCTTGTTCCCCGGTAGATTCCAAAAGTTGTAGTCCTCAAAATATTAACGTGTCCAGACTTGATCCTAGTAGTGCTGCAATAAACCCAAAATAGCATTCTTCCTTATTATCTAATCTAGGCAAGTAGGCAATGGATGCTCATTCTTGTAAATGGCAGCTTCCTCTGGGAGCAGATAATTTTGTTGACAATATGCTTTGGACTCACTGAAACACATTTTGATAGTGAATTAACTTATTGCAGCATTTTAGCTGCTCTCTTTGAGCAGCCCTTAGGATACATTCTTGGAATTATCTCCCTAATGAAAAAAAGCTGGAAGCTAAAATGTTTAATCAGGGGCATTGAGTAGCCAGTATTTTCCTGGCTACTCAATATATGATGTTCAGAAAGAAACATTTGAAAGGATTAGGCCTTTGAAACCTCAGACTGGTATGATTAGCTCCCCTCCCAAAATTATCACATGTTAAGAAGACATCATTCCCAGTATCTGATTGCCAAGTGAAGGTCAATGCAAGAATTGCCAGCTGCCCATCTTTAACAAATTTATACACTGCAAAGGTGGAAGAGACTGGTTCTCCTAGCCTTTGGTTTTTTTAAAAAAAGTAGATGTTTCAAGCATCACCTTTCATGTTAAAGATCAATTTTATAAAACATTGCTCCATGTGTATGTTTCTACCACAATTTAGATTAAATGCTTCTTATGGTTTTACCTTAAACATAGGTAAAAGACTGGCAACCCATCCTCTGGTGATGGCCTTCAAGACCTTTGTGCCTGGCCCACAATTCCAAGTATCTCCTTTGGTTGTGCACCAGTAAAAACTATGCCATATATTACAGTTGGTTATCCATATGCATGGATTCTGTATCCATGAATTCCATTACCCATAGCTTGAAAATAAAAAAACCCTGATTTTTCCATTTTATATAGGGGACACTATTTTACCTTATCAGTGCATAGGGACTTGAGTATCCACTGATTTTGGTATCCTTGGGGAAAGGGGAGGTCCTGGAATCAGAAACAAGTTTTTTTTTATCTTCATATGCCTCTCAAGAAGAGCCAATTCCTGTCTCTTAATGTTACCAACAAACAGGGTAAGCATTTGGAGATAATACACAAAATTTTAAGGACATAAGGATTTGGTTTTCAGTCACCTGTGATAATCACAATCCCTTACTCAATACCATGAGACTGAAGAAAAGGAAAGGACACCGATTTAACAGTTGCAGTAGAAAAACCTCAAATGCCAAGTCATCTATTCGAATTGTCCTGCATCCAATCTACTGGGGACAGAGGGTGAGGTCAAAACTAACCATAGTGTATACTGGTAGCCAACAGATGCTAAGTGTTACAGAATATAGTAATATAATTCCATGTTAACAGCCATGGATCCTGGGTTTTTTAGTCTGGCAAAAAAATTAGAACTTTCTGGAAGAGAAGTCTAAGTTCTCCTTAAACTGCAAATCCCTGGATTCCAGAGTCAAACCATACCAAGTAGAATGGCATCACAGTGCTATAATTCTATGGTGTGAAAGGGCCTTGTGGCATCAACATAATTATTCTTGAGGGTATTGTTTTGACAAATTATGCTTGACTAAGATTATGAGACTGTAGAATGTTGCAACAGAATTGATCCATTTTGAACATCCAGGGGCAAAAAGGGTACAGTACAGATTGAGCAAACTTTAACCAGAATTCAAAAATTCGAAAAACTCAAAAATTCAAAATGGACCAAATAGATAGTTGAGATAGTTACACATTTGCTTGCTGATAGTTCAGTGTACACAAACTTTGCTTCATGCACTAAATTATTAAATATATTGTATAAGGCATATATGAAACATAATAAATTGTGTTCAGACCTGGGTTTCATTTCCAAGGTATTTCATTATGTACATACAAATGTTTTTTTTTTTAAAAAAAATCAAAATCGGAAATGCTTATCCCAAGCATTTTGGATAAGAGATATTAAATCTGTTTTTAAAAGAATGCCCCCGATTCATATCGGAAGGATTGTTTAAACTTATGTGAGCTTCCACATGTGTTCAAAGTATGTTTCCCTTTCCAATGAGCACCAGTAATGCACCACACACTTTCTAAAGCACATAAACATACACAAGAGTCCAGCATAGTATGTATTTCCCATTAATTAACTTTCTCACAGCCTCTTCATTTAACATTCATTTTGAAGTTAAAACCATTTGTGCTTTCTGTGTCCACACAGCAATGATATGACAGTGAATATAAAACATGTTATTTTTTGTTGTTGTCATTTGGTATGAGAAAAAGAATGAGACATTCCTTAGGTTTGGAGGGAGGGGAGGATGGAAGGAAGGAAAGCTAAAGTGAATGGGAAAGAAATGTAAACCTTAAAGGAGAATATTTGTGATTAAACAGTTGCACAATTATGATGTTATTAATGGCACTTAAAGCATTACAATATTTCATCACATTTTGTCATCATTTTCTTTGTGGAATTTGATGTGACTTGTCTTTCTTACTTTAACCCTAAATGCTAAAAGGGACAGAGCCCTGAGATCTGAAAGTTGCCCTGCCCCTTTGACTTTACATTGTATATGCACTTAACATCTATTTCTTTCTTTCTTTCTTTCTTTCTTTCTTTCTTTCTTTCTTTCTTTCTTTCTTTCTTTCTTTCGTTCTTTCTTTGATTCATTCATTTTATTTTATTTTTTAAGAATTTCTTTTGCTACAGGGGATAGCAAATGCTTGACAACATGCAAAGGCTTTGTTTTCTGTCTCTATAGAATTAGCTTAAAAACTGAAGCTTCTCAGTGATACAAAACGTGAACGCAAAAAAATTAAAAAAGGAAAGTGGCTCACTGCTTATTGAACCAAACACAAGATTGTGATGTTTTCTTCTCCCTTAAAAAACCGATTCTAAAATTCTGAAGTTTATCCCCTAGTATTATTGAGTTCTATTTCATTTCCCCCTCTTTTTTTCATTTGTCATGATAAGTATTCACAAGGTGTTGTTTCTATGGGTATTCTTTCCCCTGTTAAAAAAAGCATCCTGCTCTATTTTCATTACTGTTTCCTTGACATCCAGGTGGCTTCCTTATGTGTGGGCATATTATTGTTTTTATGTTTTTGGATTACCAAAAGTTAACTCAATGGTTTTAACAGACATTGGGTAAACAATCATATTTGGATCCTAGATCAAACTATAAAGACTGCCTTATTCACCATTTACCCCATAATTTTGCATTTTTATAAAAAGGGAGAGAAGAAATGTGTGATTCACTTGAAAGACACGCAGAGCCTTCTTTCCTCACTACCCCAAATGCTCTTGTAAGACGTCTGACTTTGAACTCACACACACATTCCTGCCATTGCTGTTCACCTTCCAGCTGCATTACCATGGCACCTTTGAAGGACATATGTAGGCTGATGCTGTCATATTCCACATTCAGATGCCATTCTCCAAGGTTTTATCTGTGATTTCTTTTGGCAGAGCAAGCTTCGGTCATTATGGCACAGTGAAATATTCTAGGATGCTATGTAATTCAGACTGAATTTGGAGTCTGTTTAAGGCACGTGTCTTGATACATATATCTACCTAGCTATCTATATATCATGTACATGTATAAAAGACTAACATTGGGTCTGTAGACAGTCAAAAGACAGATTTGACATTTAATTCCTGTCTTCAAGTAATGATTTGTTTTCATGTTCCCTTTCTTTGGTTTCACTGGGGATAATTCCATTCTCCAAGCCCAAGTGTTGCTCAATACAGTCAGTGAGGACAGCAGTACTAGAGTGGTCTGAGTGACACCCTTTCTCAGAATCCTCCTCTTTCTTCTCTTCGTCCAAGGAGTAGTTCCTGAACGTCTCATATATTTTCCGCACATCTTCTGGAATACTCTTTTTAAGGTCTTTGTTTTTCCTCTTGGTCAGCTTGGACGAAGAGCAAAATTTGTTGATGATGTTGTCCTCAGATGCCCCCTGCCCATGCTTGGTCAACTGATCTGATCCTTTAAGGCGTAAGTTGTTCGGTTTGCTGCTAATGCTTTCCTGAGATGAAGCCTTGAAGTGGCCACTGTCCAAGGCGGCAAAGACACAGCGCTTCTCTGGGGACAGCATGTCCAACGAGTGGGCTCTCTGGTCTAGCCCAAGGCGTCGGCGCTCCATGCTCCGGATGGTGGCTGCCCGCTGGAGCTTGTCATGGATCTCCACGCTCAACCGCCGGCGGGTTTCCCTGAACTCTGCAGTTACATTGGCTTTCCATTCAGCTGCATGGGCTTTTATTTCACCAACCTTTGCAGGGTTATAAAAGTTGAAAAATGAGAGAAAGTTGAGGAAATCACAAAATATTTGTCAATAGCAATATATTAAAGAAGCAGTTCTGATCAATTTTAAAAACTGGTTATATCAGCCAATTCATTTTGTCTACTTCCTGACTTCCATTAATACAATTTAAAGTAATGCATTCAAAGCTAAAAGGAAAACAACATGAGTCAAATGCCTCCTTTCTAGGAGCTATTAAAGGCATAGGAATTCCCTTTGGGCCCACTGTTATTGTAAAGCTCGAACATATAATTACAGTATAATCCAAAGCATAAGGACTATTGTTATGTAGGGTACCTGATTTAAATAATAACTGGCAGAATAAGAGTAAATTGCATGTAGTAAAAGAGGTAAATGTGCTTATATAGCATCCTTCAATTATACATTGGGATTCTTAGTGCTGGTGTATTTTCTTGTTGCATAAAATGGATTTCCTGGAAACAGTCCTGGGAATACACATACACCCTTCTTCTAATGCTTTGATCATCAAAGTGCACTAAGTCAATTCATAGATCCTTTCTTTCACCTTATAGGATCAATGCTACAGTTCTACTAAGTGCCTCCAGACAGAATGCTGAAAAGCTGAAAAGCAATTTCAGTGGACTCAGTGATGAAGCTCTTTGTATCCCACCTTGACTGAAGAAAGACTACTTGAAAGTGTGCAGAAGCCTTCTTTGTGTCCATTCCTACACTTCAGAATTCTCTCCCAAGGGCTCCCAACCAACCATCTTTCTTCTATTATCTTTTCCAGGTCTTAGAATGCCTCTTAATCTTCTGAGTTCAATTTAGTATTGTTGATCTGGATGCGTTTGAATGTTGCTGTTTCAATCTACAAGGATTGTCTTTGTTTTACTGACAATGTGTACTTTACATTTAAATTGCCTCTAAACTTACTGTGAGCCATTCTGAGAATTGCTTTCAGAAGTGGAAGGGTAAGCTATATGTTTTCTAAATGAAGGGTATGGCAAATTTCATGTGGGCATCTCAAAGCTCCCTGGATTGATCTGATGGCATTATAGTCAGCCCTCCACATTCACTGGGATTAGGGGCCCAGTACCCCCATGAAAGTGAAAAAATGCAAATCATTGCTATTTTTACCTGAGCTAATTTTTAGGTCTTCTAGCGTGACTTTATGGTCAACTTTCACTGGAAGAAGGCCATAAAATCCCATTGGATGACCTAGCTATTCGTAGAAAGGTGTTCTCTCTAAAACTCTCTATATCCTCCAGCATGAACTGGAGGACGTTGACAACAGAATCACATTGAAGAACACAGAGATTCCCAATGAAAACATTTTAAGCAAATATGGAAATAACAAAATCAACATAAGTCAAAGCTACAAATGTAGAGGGATGGCTGTGTTTGCTTTACCACCCGAAAAGGAAGAAATACAAGAAATAAATATGGAATATGTGCAATCGATATTGGGAATGGCCCCAGTCTACGAGTTTGGATCATGGGATTTTAATGTTTATATTAAGTGGCTTTAATTTGTATGTCCTTATATCTAAATGTTGTTTTATCTTACATTTAATTGTCTTATTGACTTGTATGTATAGTTATATGTTTTGTTTAGATTTATTATTTGGTTTTATATGTATGTGAAGCACTGAACTTTGCCATTATTTGTAAACTGCTTTGAGTTCCCCCTGGGGTGAGAAAAGGGGCATATAAATACAGTAAATAAATAAATAAATAAATAAATAAATAAATAAATAAATAAATAAATAAAATCAGTGGCACAACTTGCTGCTCAATTTCAGTAGCATGATAGCAAGTTTCTAATCTTGCTTCTAAATGGACGGGATCAAACAAAAACATAAAACGGAGCAGCACCAATAGGCACAGAAAATCCCGTGAAATCAATAATTTATTACCTCTTCTTTAGTCTTCTTTGAAAGGACCCGTAACCAATCTCCAATCATGCTGAGGACAGCAGCAAAGTAGGCAAGGCCTACAAGAATCCAGAACCACACCAAGGGCTTATACCACTCACGGTAAGGGATTTCAGCATTTCCTCCTTTGGAAGAAGTAGGTAAAAAAAACTAAGTCAATAATATTTGATAACTATTCAGGAATTATTTAAATGCAGACACATTTCAAGATTGAAATGTGTCTGCATTTTTTTCTGCCTGTAGTCAAAACCCGTCCCCAAAATTGTGGTTGTCCAAATGACACTTCATCATATTATGCTGTTTCCCCTAAGCGGTTTATAGAGGTTGAATATCATTTATCTGGAATTCTGAAATCTAAAATATTTCAAAATCCACAACTGTCCACATGAGTGGCTGAGATAATAAAACCTGCATGCATGCGCACAGATGTTATTTTTTGAAACAGCCAACCAATGAAAAATCCTGTCCAGGTCTACTCGGAAGTTAACTCCATTAAGTTAAATGGGTTTTATACTGAACTAAGTGATTACAGGATTATACACATGTACCTGGGATGTTTCAGTGAGACTTACTTCTGAGAACGCATTCCTAGAATACTGCTATAAATGTCATTTTTTTAAAAAAAATGGCCATGTGGAGTACTTTTTTTTACTATATACCACCATGGTTTAGTCTTCCCTCTATTTCACCCCCTGAGCTTTTGCATTTTGTAAGTTGTTAGAAATCTGATACATTCCAATGAAGCCCTAAAGTGCATTTCATGCAGCCTGCACATGAACGTGCCTGCAATGATTGAAGACACATATAAAAACTGAAGCATACAACTGAAGCTGGTGGAGACCCAAATATTGTTTCTGATTTCAGGCTTCTCTCATCATACACACACACACACAATGCATTACTATGTAGCTTTATGGCTTTCAATGTACAAGGGACTCTCCCAGCCAACGCAGTTGGTTGGGAGAGCGATTTGCCCCTCCCCCCAGAAGGCAGAGAAT